TTGATATTATACACATGCATAGGTACTATATGTGGATCTCTCGCAGATTTGTTCATTTTGTGATGAAATCTTCAATTCCCTAATTGAAATGTGCTAAGCTGTCTGAACCATATGCTGCTTGTTCTAGGTGTTATCTGTATTTGTAGTTGGTTGGTCTGCATAAGCAAATACTATGGTATTCCTAAAACCAAACTTTCCCGGGAGTCTAGACAGAAATTTTCATTGCAAAAAAAATTTCTGACTTGTGAAATTTGCGAAAGTTTGTGTCTCCAAAATCAAAGTGGTTTACGATGTTTCTGTCACAGTTGTTTTGAGTCTCCTTCTCCCTGTGTTACACACCCTTAGTAAACTTGCTCTATGAGAAAACTGACTGACTTGATACACAATTAGCAACTATTGTAGATTATCCACCTACGATAGCTATTAATGACAGCTTGGGAAATCTAAGTTTTTAAGTTTTGTTTTGATTCAAGACCAGTAGCCAATAGAAAAACTGCATGCATTTGGTCCAAAATTAACCAACATTACTAGAAAATGATGTATGGGAAAAACTTTACCATTCAAATGAGTTATTATCATATTCTATGTTTTTATATGAACTTTTGTGTTTTTCAGCTGCTCGCAGTATAAATGGTCGAAGTGAACTGACAATATATAATGTACGAAAGGAAGATACTGGAACATATGCATGTATTGCTGAAAACGCCGCTGGGAAGGAAAAAAGAGTGACTGATATCTGGGTCCAAGGTTTGTCTTACATATTCTGAAGGGCTGTAAAAAAACTGTCATGCCATGCATGTATTAGATATGGGTCTCTTACAAACAAAGATGGTGGTGGATGTGAAAAAGAAAATTCTCAATTGTGGAAAGGTGATTTAGCTTTTATTCAATATCTATTTACTATATTATTATTTTCAGTTCCACCAACTGATTTTGTGCCTCCTCGGAATCAGACAGTAACACGTGCACACACAGTGGAGTTGACCTGCTCTGCCGATGGCGACCCCGCACCAAATATAATTTGGAGTAAGAACAGTAACCCAGTTCATTTCACCAATAGGGTTAGAAAATCCAACAACGGCTCATTGGTTATTTACGGCACTACTGTAAGTAAATCAATAGATTTAATATGCTGCCCTCATGTGTCCATATTCAGCTAATCATTTTGGTATACTGCTCTCATCGGTCAATACACAGTAATTTGAGATCTTTCTGTTATACTGCCCTCATGTGGCGAGTTTACATCAAATTAGTCTCGTCAATGTAAACGTGTCATGAATAGACGACTTTCCCGGAAGTCAAAGAATTGAATGCATTGAAAGAGTATGATTGAACTTATAATATCTTTTCTTTTTAATGTGGTTGTGCACTGGATTGCCTTAAGGTGCATATTATAGTGTCCTAATTTTAATCTGGTCATGAATGTGCTCAATCATTCATTAATTTGAGGTCAAGCCCACCACCACGACACTCTACAATAAAACATGACATGACCACCTGTCTAAAATGGTAACTATCGTCATGAACTATGCAGACATGCACCGATTGTTATGTTTAAAGTGGATGTATTCTTCAAGTAGTTTGTTCGAGTTCATTCGTATTTTTGTGCTTTTAATTTTAC